CCGCGTCGGGCTCTGTGCTGGCCGCTCAGAGCCTGGAGCCTGCTTCGGATTCTGTGTCTCCCTCTCTCTTTGCCTCTCTCCTGCTTGCGCTCTGTCTCTCAAAAATAAATAAAAACGTTAAAAAAAAGAAAAAAAAAGTCGTCCTGGGGTTAAATCGACTTTACAGATGTTGGAGTGGCATGCTAAGGAGTAGATAAGTGCTATAAATTGTTGCAATTCTGCATTATGCGTGGTCTCCACTTACATAATCCGTTACTAGTATATACACCGATTGTCATCATTACTAGTATTTATCGAGTGCTTACTTGATGACGTATCAGACGTCATCTCAGTTCATCCTCACAACAACCCTCTGAGGTAGAGAGTCAAATCCCATTGTTTAAAAACAGCTCTATTGAGTTTTAATTTACATATCGCAGAATGTGCCCATTTTAAGGGTGCGATTCAATGATTTTCAGGACATTTACAGAGTTGTGCCCCCATCACCACAACCCGAGTTTTGAACATTCCGTCACCCCAAAAAGACACTTTGTGCCCACTTGTAGTCACTCCTGTCCCCAGCCCCAGGCAACCGCTAGTCTGTTTTCTGCCTCTGTATCTTTGCCTTTTCTGGAATGTTCCACGTACATGGACTCAGCTAATATGTGATCTTTTGCGATTGGCTTGTTTCATTTAGAGTAATGTTTTCAGGGTGCATTCAGGTTGTGGCATGTATCAGGACTTTCTTCCTTTTATCGCCCTTTAGTATTCCATTGTGTGGATATGCCGCATTTTGTTTCTCCGTTCACCGGTTGAGGAACATTTGGATCGCTTCCACCTTGAGTTATGATGAATAATGCTGCTAAGAACAGTTGTGTGCAAGTCTTTGTGCGGATGTATGTTTTTATTTCTCTTGGGTGGTTACCTGGGAATGGAATTGCTGGGTCACATGGCAAATTTCTGTTTAGGAAACCGCTAACCTGTTTTCCAAAATGGCTGTACCATTTTGCGTTCTCCAACTTCAGTTTGGCTATGTCACTTGCCAAAGATCTCTTAAGTTTTTAGTGTCAGACCTGGAACTTGAACCCAGATCTGGTGTCTCCGAAGTCCGTGCTTTTAGCATCTCCGGCTTTGGATTTTCCTGAGAAAACGAGAGAGCCACTCACCTGTGGTTCTGATCTGTCTCTCCCAGGGCCTTAAGGCCCTGCTGCTTCTGCTGGCCTCTTGGGCCCTTTGATCGGAGGGATCCCCGGATAAGCTCTTCATCCCTAGCTGTCACCTTTTCCATGGCCACATGAGCGAGCCTCTGTTGAAACCACCGAACATTTGTTAAGTTGTCAGGGCTTCTGTTCTCTCAGAATGTGCAGGATTTTCTTTATGGAAACTCTGTTCACATTCCCAAAAAAAGTTTGAGTGGTTCTTCTATAGCCTAATTTTAACTCTTCAACTGTTATTCATTCTCACGGTAAAGGTTTTCAAACTTTTTTTTTTTTTCAAGCAGTGGAAACTTTTATGTGAAATTATGCAGAAACTCAATGTGTAACATGCGCGAAAGAGCCAGTCTGGCTGAGGTTGTTGGGGGGGCAGGTGTTGTGGCTACTGGCCCTTCATCCACCATCTGCCCTTCGGACCTCTCCCCGGCACGCAGGTGCACCGACAGACATCTGGCCTCTGCATGTTGTGCTTAAACGGTCGACTCATCCAAAGGAAATACAGGTCTGACTTTCACTTTTGATGATTTTCAAAAGGGAAGTTTCTCTTCTCTTAATTATAAAGATCATTCATCCTTGTAGGAAATTGTTAAAGTACAGAAAAAAAAAAAAACCCCATTAAGACAGTAAAATCAAGATAACCAAAACAGCAACAACTATCAGTAACATTTTGGTATTTTCCTATTACTCAGGGTCCTGATAGGAAAGAAATGGTGCCCTGACATGAGGTAGTTTGAGAAAAGTTTAATAAAGGGGCAATGGCCAAAAAGCTTAGGGCAATAGTTCTCAACCTTTTTGGTCTCAGGGCCCCTTTATATTATTAAAAACTGAGAAATCTTAAGAGCTTTTGTTTACCTGGGTTCTGTATTGATATTTACCACTAGAAATGAAAGCTGAGTAATTAAAATAAACATGTGCTCATTAAACCATAAACACCAAGTTATCTATTGTTATCTAGACGCTAGTTATCTAGTTATCTATTGCTACATAGTACAGGAGCTCAAAATTTAGCAGCTTAAAACAATAAACACTTGCTGTCTCACACAATTTCTGTGGATCAAGAATCTGGGGCCAACGGAGCTTGGGTGGTTCTAGCTTAGAGTCTCTCATAAGGTTGCAGACACCCCAAGGCCTAATGGAGCTGGAATAGCTGTGTCCAAGATGGCGCACTCACATGGCTCTTGGCAGGAGACCTCCGATTCTTGCCATATAACCCTCCTCACAGGG